GATAAGCAGGTTACTGCCCCGTCTCCCAGCCGACCAGAGCCCGGTAGTTTCTCCTTCCACCAGGAAACGTGTGCCCCCGCCCCTCCCAGCCCGGGGAGGGGCCCACAGCCCTGCCTCCACCCGCTGCTGTGAGGTGAACGTATCCTGTCGGAAACTTTACAACCAAGGTGAGATTTGACACCGAAAAGAAAAAACCACAGAGCAATTAAAGGTACAAGAATCCTCTTAAAATTCCCATGTCAGTCCTTGAACTCAGACTGAGTGAAGGAATGTTTACTTCTAGGGAATGGACCAAAAAGAAAATTTGTTTTTCCACACTTAATCATTTTTCTGAATTCCAAGGAGGGGGAAAACGTTTTTGGTTTTTTTCTCTTCCTTTTTCCATCTATGCCACTCAAACCCTGGTCAAACTACTCAAAGGGGAGGACCCCGGAGAGCTAATTCAGCTGTGGGCTGCAGCTGCGGTGACACAGTCCTCACAGGAACTGCAGCGACCAACCCTGGAAGGAGGCCGCCTGAGCGAGCAGAGGCTGAGAAGCATATTCTAGAATGACCGGGTGTGTACAAATACGTCATCGCCCCCATCTACACCCACACCCACTTGCACACTGGCCTGTGCATAAGAACAAGCACCGCGCCGTGTCCTGGCCGCCTGCTCAGGTAACCACGCCGTTCGGTGAGCCTCGGTCAAGCCCGCCTGGGTCTCAGGTCTTTGCTCAGGTGCATCCTCCCAGTTCAATCCTGAAGCCTCACTGGGCTTCAGCCCTGGGTCCTCCCTTCGAGTCTACTCTAAGTGCCCATGGTTCGCTCACTGTTCTCAGGGCGGCCAGCTTGGCGTCCTGCTTCTCTTCCTCCTTGTCTCTGCTGTACCTGCGCCCTCCTCAGCTCCAGCCCTCGGGACCCACGGGCAGGGGCCACCTCCAGCTACAGCCGTAGCCCCTCCTCTCGGAGTGGGACACGCTCCCCCAGGCCTGGGTGCCCCCCATAGTATTCAGGAGCTCCAGGGTCCTCACTCAGTGTCAGGACTCGGAACCCTCACAGCCAAGGGCTGGCAAGGCAGGGACCGGCAAACTTCACATTACCCAGAAGGAGAGTGCATGGCTTAGTGAATAAAGGCAGAACATCACGCTCATCAGTTCTTTATACCCCCATCCCGACATCATCCCTCCACAGGCCGCTGGTCACTGCCCAAGAGTGGCCTGGACAGATCCTGGCTGCGTCCCCTCCGCGCACACGTGGGCAGGGCTGCGTCGGCGCGGGGTTGCCTGTCTGAGAGGTCACCGAGTACACCCCCGGCTCCAGGCAGTTTCGTACACAACCACTTCTGAGAGGTGAGATTCTCTCATTTTTAAAGAGACCACTTCAGAAGAGCAAGCTTCCATCTCCAACCCAGACCGGCCCAAAGGCTGGCCCCGGGGGCGGCGCCGGGAATGGCTGCCCTGCAGGGCTTCGCTTCCTCCCGTTCAGACCTGGGAGGAAAGGGAGACAGAGAAGGGCTGCAGGTGGGACTGGGCCCTATGTCCCTGACACCAGTGTCCCCATGTGGTTTTCTTTTTGTCCCCTTAATACAGGTGACCCTAGTTTGCAGTCCTATTGGTGGGCCTTCAACACTGGTTGAAGCGAGGCAGCGAGAAACCAGCATTTCCCCCTCCTGCGGGTAGGTGGCCCACCCTCCAGTGTGACTGCCACCTTCCCCTTCTTAGTGGGCTGATTTCCACCCTTTCCCACCGATTTGTTCCTAACCACAGGCTGTTCTGGTGCAGATTAGCTTCGTCTCTAGCCTGGAGCCTTCCAAAAGCACCCCGGTCTCTCTCTCAAACAGATGCCCGGTGGTCGATTCTATCCTTTCCCCACCTGCTGGCCCCGCGCCATTTCTCCTGGTGTTTCAGCAGAACAGGGGGGCGCCCTGGACTTCCACTTGGGTCTGTGGGGCCAGCTCCTCGGCTTTCTCTCAGTCTGGCCTTCTTCTAAGGAACTCCTTCCTTGTGTTTTCAGTTTGCTGATTCTATGGATCGCTCTTACAAAATTCGTGCAATCCTCTTCCATCCTGGAAGCTGCCCACACGGCCTGGCCTCTCGCCTCTGTCCCTCCAGGCCACTTGGTTCCTCACCCTTTACCTGCACGGTCTGCTGTGCAAGAGCTTCTCCCTCTCCTGCCCTGTCTCTGCCCTTCTTGCTCTCATCAGAGCTGGTTTCTGTGTTATTCTGCCCTGGTCAGAGCTGGTTTTCTCTTCTCTTTAACCCCGAAGCCATGCTGCAGGGCATGTTTTGTGGCTTTTGCCACTTTAAAGTGAGAAACAGAGGCTCAGAGTAGAACTGCCAGAGAAGGGCTGGGGCTTGGCCCCCAGTCTGAGGGGCCCGTGCCTGGGCTCTGCCAGGCCCTGTGCAAACCTCTCCAAGCCCCACTGCTCCTGAGAGTGTGAGATGGGGCACCCTCACTTCCTGTGGCCTGTGCCCTGATGCTCCTGGGCTGTCCACCTTCTTCCCAGGAGCCGATGAAAGGCGGCTTCCAACTCGAAGCTTCCTCCTGTAGCGTGCCGACAGCCCCCATCGTTTCACACTGTCTCGAACGCTCCTTACACACCCAGTTTGCTCCTCACTCCACAGCACACACTGAATGCACAGTGAACAGCCGCACACCCAGGCTGACTCCCATCCAAAGTCCTGAGTGATGGTCTCCAAAACTCAGTCGTTGGAAAGTCTCGATCTGATTGACGGGTCCTCGTACTCACTGACTCCTGTCCTGAAACCTGTCTCTTTGCAAGTGGCCCAGTGCTGCCTGTGCTTCTGTGTGTGGTGGGCCCCCGCCCCCCTTCGGGCCTCTGCCCTGGAGCAGTGCTCCAGAGTCTATGTCGACGGGCGCAGAAGCCAACAGAGGTTTTCTAGGTGTTTTGAGTTTTACACTCTGAGGTTCCCTTTTTTCAAACTTTATCGTGAAAGGAGGAGAACAAACAGTATCATATTGCCCGTGGCCTGGGTGCCCAGGAGGAGACCATGGGCCATCACAGACCAGCCCCCACCCCACAGCCATACCCACTCGGGGGTGTGGGCACCTGCCGCTCAAACCCCCACCCAGAGGACGCAGTCTGGGAGCCAGCAAGAGCACCCACCAGGGGCTTGGTGGCCTCCTGCCAGGGGCAAGTCACCTGCCCTTGGACGCCCACACAGGCGAGGCATTCAGAGTACCATGGAGGCACTTCTAATAGGCTTGGTCACCTTCGTCAGGACAGCTGGGCGCTGTCCTCCACTCCCGGGAGTCAGCCTGGCCTTCAGCTCCCTTGGGGGTATCACAGCAACTCTGACTTCCTGGCTGCAGGGGACTTCAGGGACAGCTCCCTGGTTTCTCTGTACAGACCCCCGGAGTCCTAACTCTGACGTCTGGGTGCGCAGCTCCTTGTGATGGTTAGTGGACTCGTATCTGCACGGTTCCCCTGGCCCTCGGCCCCGGCATCCCCCTCTCCACGCCCCGGGTGGGTTGTGAGCACGTTACATTTACCGATGTGAAGAGGGCAGAGAGCAGGACCCGCCGCCTGACTCGCTCCAGACACCCAACAGACGAGAGACAAGGGTGGGCCGCCCCAACACCAGCTACTCACACGTCACCTGTGCAAACCTGCGCCATATCTACAGCATATCGTTACTTAAATTTGTGTCTTGAAAGGAACCTTCACAAAAATACTGTGTATGATCAACCAGCATCAGACTGGAATTCACGGAAGATGCTCTTAAAAATAAATGTGTCCCTTATAACAGCGCGCCCCTCAGCCTCCCCACTGCGAACACCCTGACATGGGGCGTGTGGCACTGAGTGGAAGGCCCCCAAACACTGCTTCTCTCGCACCCCAGGCAGGCCTTACTAACAGGGACAGGGGTGCACAGAAAAACTGCTCAGCGCATCTTCGCCCAGTGACTTCGCTCACTGCCCTTATTAGTTGTTCAACAGGGTAAAGAAAGGACGACTGTGCCCCAAGTGCTCCCGGTTTCTACGACACAGGAAGATGTGTGCCCTGTTGCTAGCTGTTCGGTCAGGACCCCCCACAAGAAGACTGCTGTGCTGTCTCTATAAATCAGACCACAGACGGAGGTCACTGCCCTGGCCTTTGTGGGGCTCACACCTCAGACCCGCCCGCCTGCCCGCAGGTCCACGCTGCCTCGGCGCTCCCTGGGGACCCCTTCATGACATGCTTTTGTGCAAACGAGTGGCCCCCCCCATATCACAGTTTTTTCCTTAAAAAAAGGGAAACACAGGCATTCCAAGGACTGTGGACTCATGCGCTTGTGAAAACGCAACTTGTGAGTAAAAAACAGACTTCGAGTCAGAAACCGAACCCAATTTGAGGCCGCTACCCAGGACTCAGGGTCAGTGAATCACTGGACTGCTGGGATGCTTTTCCTGTAATTGAGAGGGTTGGCAGGGTTTTTTGGACCTGAGCTGCAGTGCGTGCCAGCTCACCAGGGAGAGACCGGGGGTCCGGCCGTGTAGGGGGGCTAGGTGAAACCATGCCACCTGCGATCGGCTAGGTTTATTTTTATCATTCAAGGATCTCTATGCACCAGGTTTTCTTCTTTCAGTCAAACTGAACCTCAAAGAAACAGAGATGAGAGGGACAGCATGAAAATGGCCTGTTTGGTTTTTGAACCCAGAGTTCCGAAAATAAATAGCCCTGGTGCCATGGCACAGGGGACGCGTCACCTGCACTGCACACAAGCCAGGAAACTGGACATTTGCACAGTGCACGGGGGGCAGAAGACACTGCTGGTGACGTGCCCCCCACCATGTGGGCTGCTCCCAACTCTCATGGTCACGGTGACTATGAGCTTCTCTCCTCCCTCGGACAAGAGGGCCCACCCAGCTCCAGTCCATTTCCTTAGGGTGGTGGCCGAGGGCACACAGCCGAGAGAACCCCTCCTGTCCCCACTTCACTGCCTTCCAAAGGTCGGAGAGACACAGGGGTCTTGGGAACCACGGAGCGCCGGCTGGCCAGCGGACGGCCTACTCACCCACTCCTCTCTCAGTCCGAGTGCTCTGCTGGCCTCCGGACGTGGTCGACAGGTCTTCGGGGACAGGCATGGGCTCATCGCCATCATCTGGAGTGTCACTTACGGGAGGGCTTTCCTTCCCTGGGGAGAAAGGCAGGACCCTGAGTGTCTGGGGGCATGGTCCCCACTGGGGCGTGGACCCCAGGACAAACCAGCAGGGAGGCCCAGGGAGCCTGGGCCTCACCCTGTCTTCAGAGGAGGATGCAGAGCAAAAATACGTAAATCGGTGCCAGAGACAGCCACTGTCGTAGCCGTGCAGTGTGTGTGCATGTGCGTGTGTGCGTGTGCACACAGCCACCTGTGTATATATTACAGATGACATGGGGTGACACGTTTTCCAGACGCTGCCTGAGAGTTTGGGTGCCAGCCCCACGCGCCCACAACTCGAGCATGAGATCTGCACCACACGGGTGCAGAAGGGCTGACTGATGTACATCCTTCTCCTGCTTAGTTTTTGATTTTTTTATAACACGACACCAGAGCGAACATCCTCTTCACACGACCCCAATAATCGGAGCCTGACCCTGCCCGGTCCAGTGGCAGCAGCCTGTGGGGCCCTTCAGGCCTCAGGCTGTTCTGACGGACCCGCCTGCAAGCTGGCGTCACCACCGCTCACCTGGGTTTGGTTCCAAGGTAGCCAGATGGAGCTCCCGGCTCAGAGCTACAGACCCTGGGTCTGTTCGCTTTCTGGTCAGGGAATGTTTCAGGGGCTCCCTGGTCTCACTCAACCTGGTGGGGGAGGGAAGTCAGGGAAGAGAAAGGGGAGTGGCCCCACTTGGCAGCTTGGAGTCCCTGCTGGTGGTGTGCATGGGACTCTGCCGGTGGAGTCCTCACCTTTGAAACGCAAGTGCTCAGGGTGGTCCACACACAGCAGGGTGCACCAGAGGAGGAGGGCTTGGCTAGGTGCCCACATGGGCGCCGCATTAGAGTGAGGTTCTGCCAGAGGCTCCGGCCTGGGGCTCACCCACTCCCAGGCCCAGCCCAGGGAGACCCTGGCTCACAGAAAACACTCTTGCTCTTTCTCCTGTGAAACGCAAACCCCGGGGTCCTCTTGCTGTCCAGAAATCACTGAACACTGAGTCAGGAGACGAACACCACAGGCCAGTGCCAGCGGCGAGGCCCTGAGCTGATGCGGAATGACCTCCCGGGAGAAGGCCAGGGGAGAGCGGGGTTGCCCTTCACCCTGAAGGTGTGTGGAAAAGCGGCAGATTGGAGTGGTGTGTGAGCAGTGGACAGGCGCCGTGGCTCCCCGGGCAGGGCAGGAGGGACGTGCCAATGTGCCCAGGACACTCAGCTACTGAAAGTGTGCAGTTTTCTTGTTTGTCCAACACTTTAGAGGTCAGGCAAGACCAGAGCAAGCGCCCGCAGTGAGACGGCCGCCCGGCACCGAGTGGTGGGCTCTCCAAGAAGCGGGCACAGCGTTTCGTGCCCAGTTTGGCTGGGTTTCTGGGACGGGCCTGTTTTCCGATGGGGCGTCATGGGTACATCTGGAGACCCAGGATGAGTGGAATGGGTAAAGTGGGCACAGTTACCAGGATTTCCCCAGGAGAGACAGAGGGCCAGGGACAGTGACCCAGAGGGCTGGCAGAACACTCTGCCCACGTGAATATGCGTCGCCGCAGGGACATCTTCCCTGCCCTGAACAGCAGACATGAAGACTATCAAGTGCTAAATGCCTGGGCTGTTTTCAGTCACTTCACAACGGGGACCAGCTCCGCATATGAGAGCACAGGTGGTGGACGACCATCCAACCACTTTTTCATACAACCGTCCAGAGTCATGGTTTTCAAACGCTGAGGGCTTTGTTGAGCCGCTCAGAAAAATATCGTATTGTACTTATTTGGTAAGAATAATCTTATGCATGTGAACTTTCTCTGATAATTTGTAAAAAATAAAGAGTAATCTTTCACAGAACGGCAGGAGGTAAAGCCAGTCTTTCACAGCAAGTGGGGACCCTGGAGGGCGGGGAGGCTGGAAGACCATGGTAACTGGGGAGCAACTCATGAAGCCCCAGGACCCATTCCATCCCAGGGCCGGGGTCAGGGGAAGACTGCAAGGAATCAGGACTTACCCAGGGAAGGCACTTTGCCTCTGCTCAACTCACGCTGACTAATATATGTCCAAGTAACTCCTGATCGCTTTTAAAAAACTTAGCCGACGGGTTTATTAGGGAACAAGGCCAACCCCTACTCACTGAGGACGCCGGGTCAGCTCTGGCGGGAAGACCTGGCCAGCGCCACTTGCACGGGATCTGCGTCGGGGAGGAAAGGATGGACGAACAAAGACAGTGGCGATGGCGACTCTAAAACACCGTGGGCCGGGTGGGTCTATAGGAGACCTCAGACCATGGGAGCACCCACCCAGAGCAGAAAACCTGAGCCTCCGGCAGGACCAAGGGGAGGGAGCAATGCTGGAGAGCTTCCCGCACAGGCTGACCTCTGTTCAGCCTGGCCTTGCCTTCACTCCTCAACCGCTGTTAAGGGCTCAGCTGATCTGCCTTCAGGCCCCCAGAGTTTGAGTGGCAGCTGCTGAGACCTGGGTCACACCCTGCAGCTGGGCCCTGGGGCCCCATCCTGTAAACCTTTGTGATGGGCGCATGGTGGGTTCCCAACAAACATGCCCAGTTTACCACATAAAATCAGAAACCAGGAAAACAGTATAAAAGACAGAGATGAAGTCATTGAATCGAGTCCACACATCCCAGGTATTGGCACACTGCGGCGGGACCTGACTTGACCCGGATAGAGTTTGTTCGGGTCTGACGAGTTCTGAGACTGATGGGAACCTGGAATAAGCCATGTCTCTAACACTCTACCAAGAGTGACATGGGGCAGAAAAAAGAAGCCCCCACAATTTTGGCTAAGCTCAGAGGATTGTTGTGGGGATAAAATAACAATCATGTCAGTGAATGTTAAGGTGCCAACTAAGCATGAGGGGTTGTTTCATAAACTGTAACCATGGAAACATGTGTGTGGCACCAAGCCCCACACACGCCCTGAGTGATGTGTGACACACACACACACACACCCCTGTGGGCAGCGGGAATCAAGCCTTGAAGGGGCGTGATGGTGGCGGTGCCATGTAATTTTACTTATTTAGAAAAATGAGAAACACTCCTTATCAGTTTATATTTCATTTACCTGCTGCCAGGTTTCAGATGAAGCATTACCTGTAAGAAGTGTGTGGGGGCAAATTAAACGAGAACATTGTATAATTAGTGCAGCAGCAGCAAGCAGATAATTTCTCAAGTAGACCATGCTTCACCCCAGAGTTTTATGACTCCTGGTCTCCCAAATGCCTGAGTTTTTATTGTGTGTCATTGCCCTGCTGCACAGAGTTCCTGGGGGTCAGAGAAACTCAGAACAGGGACTCTCGGCTCTGCGGGAGCGGGGAGAACTCTGCTCACACGCGGCGTGGGGCTGGCTGCTGGTGGGGCGTCCTTCCGGTTCACCCCGAGATCTTCAAGCCTCTGCTCCCGCATGCTGACCATGGAGCCCGGCCCCCTCGCTGGGCTCTTTTGGGGGTGAAACAGGAACAACTTCAGGCCGAGTCTGGTCAACACCCAGTTGGCGTGACTCCCTGCGACTGTCATTCCTGTTGACCCCTCAGGAGAGCCGAGCCTTGTTTCCCAGCGCAGGTTGTCTGTGCACAGAGCCGACTTGCTGCCTCCGCATCTGGGCAAACGTTACAAATGCCACCGAGAAGCCCTCCGGTGCACCTCCCTGCAGGGCCGCAGGAGCCAGCGGGGGCAGGACAGAGGGCCTGGCTTGTGTCTCATGGTTTGTGAGGACAGGACGGTGTCAACGGAGGCAGGGACGACTGTCTCAGGTCCCGCAGTTGGGGGCAGAGAGGAGAGGCTTAGAGAGCCTCTCTGTCGATGCCCACGCCCCTCTCCCTCCCACAGCCAGCCTGCCCCCCGAAAGCAAAACAAAATGACGCGCCTCAAACAGTCCAGCGGTAGGGCGGCTGCAGAGGAGAAGGGAGACGAGCCTTCCAGAGGGAGCGCACCAGGTGCTCCCCACAGAAGGGAGGCTGTGCATCCGGTGGGCTTTCCTCCCGGTGTGTTCAACAGCCTTGCCTCAAACTTGGGGGCGAGGCGGGGATGCAAACTGAGCGTGCGCTGGCCGCAGCCGGGGTGCACCCCAGGGAAGGAAGAGCCAGGTGCTTTGAAAAGACTCAGATACTAAGTCTTTCTCTGTTTTTCATGTGAGTATTTTACAAATACTAGTTTGCCACCTAAGAAACTGCTGATATCAGAATATTGTGTCACCTATGAAAGTGGAAGTTTTATAGGGTGCAACTTAGAAAAATCTGTATTTTTTTTCTCCTGTGGACAGAACATAACAAGGAATAATTTTATGGGAAGAGATGATAGTCCTGTAACATATTCCTCAGATTTCATGTCAAGATGTCTACTCCTTTTGGCCAAATGTGCGTCCTTGTTCCCTAACTACCTTCCACTTCCCTCGACTTCACAAATTAAGAAAAAGGGATGTTGTCAGGTTTAATTGGAGAAGCAGCAAGAAGTAGAAAAATCACCCTTCAGATCTTTAGTAAAAAGGCCACCACTTGGCAAGTGCCATGCACAATGCTCCAAACAAAAGCCAAAAGTGCTGCGAGTGTTTGGTGAGAAGTGTTTCCTCTGCTGAGTGTACACCAGCTAGATTTCAGAACGCAACTTTAACTCTTCCCCCCAAGAAACCCTTTCTTCCATTTTGGGGGCAGTCTCGTGTCCGAAGGCCCCCCCTCCTGGAGACCATCCCCTTTAAGCAGTGAGAGCATGGGACAAATCGAGTATAAGCATAACATTCAGGGCGAGGAGAAAACGAGGCATTTGCTGTGTTTGTTGCCAAGATGAGATCGGAATGCATGGTGGCAGAGCTGCCACCGAGGCTGGGGCTCCAGCCTGCGCTCGCAGGAAGTGGGGGTCTCCTGCTCTTCAGAAGCATCTGCTGTGCAGAGGCAGTGGGAGGGGAGGGGAGGGCTGGAAGCAGGGGAGCGGCGCAAAGGAAGCGTCTCTCTACCTGGGATTTCTTTTTTTAACACGCTGTTTCTTGTTTCTTTGGCATTCTCATCGCCCTGTGCCCCAGGCCGTGCTGAAGGAGGGACCCTGCTGGGGGAAGGGTCCCCAGACCTTTCCTGAGGCTTCCCAGCCAAAGCTTTGGTCTTCATTGAGGAGTGCTGCCTGTAGCGGTTCTGGTTCTGTTCCTGAAACTAAGTTCAAGCTCGAGGGAAATACGTTTGAATGGCGCCGAATGGGGGGAAGACGAGAAGCAAAGCACCCCCCATGTTTCCTCCACGACCCAGTCCTGCCTTCTGTCGCCAGGCTTCCAAGAGGAAGCCAGGAACCAATGAACAGCCTCAGCATTTTCTTAAGTGTGTGCATGACTTGTTTTCCTGTCGAAGAGCGGGGTCAGGCAGGCACGCTCTTCCAGGTCCGCAGGTGCCCGGCAGCCTTTCCCTGGGGACACTTTCTGGTCACCCTCACACCATGGTGTCTGAACGCCAGTCTCACAGTCACAGTGATGTGCGTCTGTGCAAACACTCTGTGCCCTTGGGGGAGTGTACCTCTCCGGTGAAGCCCTTCACCAGCTCTCGTTTGCCACGATCGGGCCACACGTGCTAACCAGTTTTCACTACCACCAGCCGCACTTTCGGGGCCTAAAGGCCACGGTGGCACAGGCAGCTTTTGGCTCGTGCTTTGCAGCACGGAGAGTTGACACCCAAACACTGTGTGTGGCAGGAGAAGCCATGTGGAGGAGGGGCCCTCTGTGGTCGGTGGCAGGTGGGCGGGACCTGAGTCTCCTGGCCTGCATGTCTGACAGCAGCCACCAGGCAGCAGCCACCCCCTTTGGGCCTGGGCTCCATCATGAGGCTGACTAAGACCAAGAGGCAGAATTCCATGGAAACTTGGAAACCAGTGGGGGCAGGCCAGCGAAGCCCAGAGGACAATGACAGGCCGCTGTCCTGTAGAGCCCGACCCGGGCGGACCATGAGTCTGAGGGGCTCTAACACATGAAATACTGAAAACTGCAGAGGCTACCTTGCTGCGGCCCCCTGTTCCAGTGCAGATAGAGGGTGGGTTTCCTTACCTAGGAATGCAGGGCTGGGCGGGCTGGGCTAGTGTCACCCAGTGGGTGGCACAGTCTGCGACCCACCCCCAGGTCTCACTTCCCAGGGCTTACTGCCCTGCTTCCTGGGCCCCTTTGATGGAAGGACTAGGTCCACTATGGCTTGAAACATGCACACGGGGAAGGGAGGGGGCCAGGCTGCATCCACACTCAAAAAAGACGCCGGGTTGTGCCCTCAAACTGGTTTCCAAGCTACTCGCTCCTCCTCCTCCCTCTCTCTCTCTCCTCCCCTCCCTCCCCCATCTCCCATTTCCCCTCTCCTAAACAAGGTCATTGGCATGTGTTTAGGGTCTAGAGAAGATTGATCAGCAACCACCCTGCCCCCAGAATACAGTAAGTCCTTCCCAAGCTGCCTCAGACGTCATAGTAAAACTAAGTGTGACTCTATCATGTTCCTGCTTCTCCAGCCAGGGTGGCCTCTAAGGGTTGACATTAAACATCGACATGAATGCCACCTGGGCTTTTCCTTTTGCATAGTGGCCCCTCTCCTTCCCCCCAGAACATGACCATGACCTGTGGCACCCAGTTCGGGGTTGCAGGGGGGGCGGTCCTCATGGAGCCGTGGACAGGATCTCAAGAGGGTCTCACCTGAGACTTGGGACATGTCTTGGCTCTCATCGCCGTCCATGGTCCTCAGGTTATCTGAGAAAGAGAGGAAGGCACTTTAGTTCAGAGCCCAGTTCTAGTGAGATACAAGAGTGCGCACTCGAGATAAAGGAGCGCCGTGTATTTAACAACAAGATTATCTACCCAGAAGAATGCGTTTTCTCCCTCACGCACGAGCTGGGGTATCTGACTGGCACAGACCCCGATCCCCGCGAAAACGGCATTACAAAGATTTATAAAAATATCATTACTGGCTCAGGAAGACCAAATTTGTTATTTATTGTTAATTTCCTACTGCATAATAACCCAAAATGCAAACTGACTGCAACAAAATTAAGCAGAAAATTAAATGGCCCTGGGTCATTGTAGGCACAGAACTCATTCTCTCGGCTGATCCGTAGTTATGTTCTTTCTGATTTACTGAGCACGCATCGATGAACCTTGAGTCAGCTTGGTGACACGCGCACAATCAGCAATCAGAAAAAACGAAGCAATTTGCTGAAGAATGTCTCATTTGCCCAGGCATATCTGAGCAGCCGGCACACTCCGCCCGTCAATAATGAATGCACCTCCCGCCTGGCAGATGGGCCATGCGGACACTTCCGTCTCTGTCCCCACACTCGCTGGGCCCTCGCCTCAGACCCCGCCACGCTCTGACGCAGGGAGAAGTGAAGCCAGCACAGCAGCAAAACAAGGCCGGGAGAGGGCCCGAGCCTTCCTGTTTTGCTGACAGCTGGCTGGTTTAAAAAGAGAAAAGTGACTAGGAAGAGCTGCCGTTGCCCTGCCGGCCACCCTGGCACTGGGGCGCACCAGGCAGGGGCCGGCGTCTGTGGGAGAAGGGCAGGGCATGCTATGTTCCACACTCAGGGTCCCGGCCTGCCCCTGGCAGGTCTCAGGTGGCCCTCCCTGGTCGACCTCGGCTAAAGGGAACCTCAGCAATGCAGTTCCTTTCTGCTCCACTGGACAACTGATGGGAGAGGCGTCTTTCTACCCAGCCCGCCAGGGCTGTCTGTTGAATCTACATCACGTCACCGTTTTCTGGGGGTGTGGTGGGGCTCTGTCTCTTTGGTCTGAATCTGTGGTCTGCACTGGGTGGCCTTTCCCAGGAGATACCTGGACACGGGTGGAGGGTTCAGGGCGCCTCACCCTCTCCAGCTGGGCTGACATCAGACTGGCAGGCCGAGGCCACGTACATGTATTTACGGAGCACATGGAATACATGTTCCGGCTGCTGACATGCCAACACCAGTCACATAGCCTAGAATGCCCATCACTTTTCCAGGATGGGGGAATTTCACCTAATTATGAGCACCCCCAAGGGTGTCTGAGGTACTGCACCAGTTTCCAAGGCTGCTGCCTGGCTGGGGGCACAGCTGGGGACCACGAAGTGCAAAGGCCCCATGGCTCCCAAGTGCTGCAGCCCAGGGCGGAGGGGCCAGGAGCAACCACGGGCAGACCCACCAGCCCCAGGAGCAAACAGGAAGCAGCCCCGGAGCTACCAGGGCAGCCTTCCAAAGTCACACACACTGGCTGTGAAAGAGCAAAACTCGGTGCTTCTTTCGAAACTGCCAAAACAATTATAAAGAAACCAGACAGACTTGAAGGAGGAAAAAGCTTGGTTGTTACTGTGCGGCAGAGACACAGGGCTTGGCTTTCTGGGACCAGTGCAGCGCGTCACAGCCCAGCTCTGAATGTCCCTGAGCCGTGGGTGGGACACACAGCAGGCCCAGTCTTGGTACAACAGACACCACTGGCACACAGCCTGGCTACGACACTGGCACCCAAACTGTCCACCCTGCTTGAGAATGCGCATCAGCACCTTTGCCTTCCTGGCCCTGCGCTGCTCAGGTGTCGGAAGTGATGTGACCAGTACCCGCTGTAGGCTCCTTATTTCCAATTAAGAGGAAAAAGATTTCCTAAGGCCCGGCAGGCAGCTCTCTGCCTACGCCTGTGGCCAGAGCACTCGCCCGGCCTGCCTGCCTTTGGGGGCCCCTCCGCATTTGCTGGCAGGGGCGGAACCCACCCACACCCAGTTCCACACTGAGGCCCCCTCGTGCGCCCGTCCCTCCAAGCGGATGGACAGAAGAGTGCACCATGAGAGAGAAAACCGAAGCCCTGTGCCCGTGGCCGATGACTGGCTGGGCTCGGCTCTGCAGGAGCCCTCCCACCAGGCTGTCCTCTGCTCTGGTGTCCCGAGTGGACCACACACAGCAGGCGGTTCCCATGTTCACTAAACGTGCACACGCACGCACACGGAACTCGCATGCATGTCTGCCTGCTCTCTGCCAGCCCTGCTCTGGTACCTCGTGGCCCCCGGGTGAGCGGCCAGGTGGGCCTGGGTCCTCACGGAGACAACCTCCTTGCTTGGACTCTTGCTGGCTGCCCCCATGGTCCAGATGTCTGGAGTGACCAGAGGACAGTGCACAGGGTCCCGTCTGCACTGGGCCCTGCCGGGCCCAGGGCCCATCCTGTCTGATGTCACATGGTGGGCGAATGGACAGACTCCCTCAGACTTCCCCAGACTCCTGATTTGCATCTCTTGGGATGAGACAAAGAGTGGCTTTTGGTGACATTGACTTTACTTATAGGCAAAGACCAAAGGGCTGATCCCAGATGGGGAGCTGTTTGAGGGAGAGGGCATTCACCCTCTCTGTGACCGAGGGGAGTCCCTGTGCTCTCAGAGGGGGAGCAGTGAGACTCCAGCACCCCCGGGAGCTCAGGCACCACCCTGCTCTGCACTTCCCGAGCCCCTGCTCTGCATGGAGGCAGGGCCGGCCTCACAGAGACATCAGAGCCCCAGCTCCTTACGCTCTCAGCTGTGAAGGAGGGCACACTCCGAAAGGGGAGCCCACCCCCAAAACGAGTTGCTGCCTTATGTTCACCAACTGTCCCCTGCACGAGAACCAGGACGAGCAGGCCTGTGAAGGGGGGGCCAGAGGGAATCACGCTGCAGTTTTGTCCTCTGCACAGAAACCTGAACCATGGCAGGCCAGAGAGCCAGCCCCGCACAGCAGGTGACCTGCCAAGCCACACTAGTGCCACGCCTGCTGTCATCGCTTCTGTGGGGCAAGCGGCCGCCGAGGGGCAGAGGTGAGTGGGCGGAGGCCGTGAGTGGCCGTCCCCAAGGAGGGGCCGCCTGCTGCCACTGCCCACCCCTCTCCTCCACACCCAGGGTGGTCGCTTATCTGGAAGTCTCTCTCTGCGTCTGCCCATCTCTCTCCCTCTCTGTCTCCCTATCTCAGCGTCTCTGTCTGGTCCTTCTGCCCAAAGGGGACCCAGTGGGACTTCCCTAGCTTCTGTCCCACAGAGTTGGCACCTGGGTGACTCCAGGGAACAGGGAACATGAAGGCCCCCAGCCCCTCTGGCCCCCCAGTGGCCAGACAAGGCACACTTGGACCTGGGCCCAGGTTCACCCTTCTGAGGAGCTTCCTTTGGGGAAGCTTTTGCAACTTTTTGCAAACACCCTCCCTGACCTTGCCTGTCATGAAAGTCTCTAGGAGGAGCATCTTCCTTGCTGCCTACAAGCAACCAGGTGGCCCCAGGGACAGTCCAAGAGCCAGGGAGCCGGGAGGCCACAGTCAGGGGCAGGGCTGGGGGTGCCCCTCAGACACCCCGAGTGCCCTCTGCACCCCTGTAGTCTCCATGACAAACAGCTCTGACATATGGACCCTTCCATGACTCTGAAACAGCGAGTCCAGAGCCGTGAAGCCGAAGTAAAAGACGTCTGCCAAAAGCTACAACCCGAGTCCTTTCCGAGCCGTCCTGATCCACGCCACTCGAGCACCGGGCTCAGGGCGTGGACGGCGCTGTGACCTCGGTTCCCTGAGGTTCGAACAACTACACTTTTTCCCCCCAAAACAAATGTCACGTACAGCATGGTGACCACGGCCAACAGCCACGTACAGCTCGTGGAGAGGTCCCTGCAAGAGTGGACCGAACAGTCTCGTCACAGGAAAAATGGTTTTTGTTCATTTGCGGGATGGCAGGTGTTAAGTAGACTGATGCCAGCGATCACCTTGCAGCACGTAAAAAATATGCAAATATCAAATGATTACGTCGTAGCCCTGACACTAGTACAATGCTGCATGTCAACTATACCCCATAAAAAGACAAAAAAGGCCTGTGTGCACATATACAAACATACACACATGTACACACACGTATGTGCACACACACTTACAGATGCTTCCCCTCCCCGGCACTGTCTAGGTAACCGTCTGCCCAGTGATGTCTGACAACATTTCTTGGGTACCCTCTCTATGCCAGAAAACCTGGTAAAGGAAAGGATACTGGTCGTAGGTAGTTTAATTTAAACTACCTACTACGTGCCTGGCATCTCACAGGGAAACTGCTGAGGCCCCAGGGCCAGAACGTCGTGCTCCTCGCCCACCGTTTTCTCTGAGCGTCTGGCACGGTGTCCAACGGAGGTCCAGTATCTACCACCCATCCGCTCAGTGCGTGTGTTTAATCTAAGACCGTGTTATTATTGTTATTGCACATGGCCCACCTTATCATTTCCACTTTTCGGACAAGAAAACTGAGGCTCAGACACAAGTAGCTAGCCCAAGGGACTAGTACACATCCAGTAGACAACAGAGGTGAGATTTGAACTCACAACCACACGAAGGTGACACCTTTTCACTGTCCTGCTCCTGAGAATCAGACCTTCTGAGCCCGGCACACACATCCCAGAGCCCAAATGTACACCCCAAATGTCTGGCCCTTAACAGAAAACAGACATATACTTCACAATGTTCTGCAATTAACACAAACTCCCCCCACAAACCTCTGCAATTGGTTTAAATCCTGGTTACTCGGTCCCTTGTAACCTACTGACTTTCCTCCGTGACAAGTGACGTTGCACTAGCATTTGGGGTGACTTCCTGATGCTCACATGACTCGGGTTTGGAAGGGGGCGGGTTTGTGGGGGGGAGGAATGAGGGCCAAGCCTGTAATCCATTTCAAATGCCTTGGGTCACGGCGCCCTTTAAGAAAAGCCATTACTCCAGCCCGGAGAACGGCCTTTCATTTCCCAC